CTTTCTTTCAGAATCCAGTTTGAATGTCTGTCATTTCTTGCTCCATACAGAGTAGTATTGTCTATTGCGACACATTGAACATCACTTTGCTTTTTTGGAAAATTAGTGCAATTGTCCTATATTTGCTATACTCCTTAGTTTATCATTTCTTGGGGATAGGAATGTATATTGAACACTGGAAATCTGTGGGCCATTGTTTTGTTTTCCATATTTGTTGACATTTTCTTTTTTAGGATTTGCACTAATTTAGTGTCTACACAGCTTGAAATAGGGTGTGTTTTTTATGCTTTGTTTCATACATGTGCGTTCAGAGCAATTTTCACTTTCTAATATTGCAGGCTCTGTTTGTATTTTTTCCTAATAATAGCTCTCTGTTCACAGTTATTCTGGTTTATCCTCAAATAAGTTCAGTAATGCAAATCTGTTCTTTATATGGATTTTAAATTTCTCAGGAATGTTATTTAAGTTGTATTTTGGTATTTTGCTTCCATTAGTCATCTTTTTCAACTTTTATATTATTTATTACCACAATCTGCTCCTAATCTGGTTTTGGAAGACAGACTACATCTCCTATTTTCAGTTACTTAGTCTGTTTGATTGCTAACTTGGCTACCTGGTGATGTTCATGTGTATAGTCATCTGAACTGTAGCCTGGATTATGTATTTGTAATATACAGATTACTTCATAAAATTCTGTGAATAATTCTCCAGCTTCATTTCTCACCCCTAAGCCAAATTCTTCCAAAACATTAAATTCTACTTTGTTTCCTACTTTTGCATTCTCATCACCTATAATTATCAGCATGTCTTGGTTTGATGTGTTACAAATTTTATCTTGGATTCCTCCATAAAAAATTAAATTTCTTCTTCAGCATTTGTGTTGGAATGTAGACTTGAATAATGATTATGTTGATTGGCTTTCTGAGCTTTACTCAGCTGGACTTTGTATGATATAGTCCCTTATTGGCTGTGCTACATCCTGCCTTAGTGTTAGAACCATTTAATTTCTTCTGAGTTTGTCACTTCCATAAATCATGTATTTGTCTGACTGAAAATGCTCCAATTCAGTCCACTGTAGTTCACTCCCAGCAAATACTTCAGTGCTTAACTCGTCCATTTCTTGCTTTATGGTTTCCAGTTTGCCTTGCTTCATACTTTTTATTGTTCCATGTTCCAGTTGTATGTCTTGTGCTGCATCAGGCTGTGGGTTGAATGTCTTCTGACCTGGATTTCTCATATTCTGGCACTATCTCTTGTTTTATTCTGGACTGTTTCATCATAAGTTTTTTTTACTAGGAAACATCAGAAATGGTTCTCATTGCCTTGTGCACAGAACTAACCCAAGTTAGCTTCAGCTTGACTGCTGTTGTCTCTGAAAGATTCTTTGCCAGTGCCACCTTTAACTACTAGTGCTGCCCAATAACTGCCATTCAGGAGTTTTTCTCCCATAGCATTAGAGGTGCCCATTCTCTTCTGCTGTTGTGACTGTTACTTCTAAAGGAGAGTGGGGATGCATCTTAGACTGGTGCCTCAACTTTGACCATTGTTTCCTGGGTGACCCTATCAGAGACCAGCCTAGTGAGAGAGTCTGGTGTTCTGGCAACATTTCTCTGTCAGACCCCATCACCATGTTAAGGTATACATGCAAGAGGGAACCATTAGAATAGTAAGAGCATAATATGCTTGAATCTAGTATTGGCAATAGGTTTTGATTTTTTTTAATGGAGTGGCAGAGTTGATAAATTTATTAGAATTGGTTTTGCTGCAATGTGAGTTATGCTTTTTGTGCAATAATTCTTACTGCAAATCCAAAAGTGCCACCAGCACAAAGTGACCAATTCCAGGCAAGCTTGTGTGTAAGATATATCCGGAATTTCCATTTTAGCACAATCAAACACCATATTGTGTAATTATTAAAACCCATATCAGGAAGCTGTATTTTAAATCCAATTTCCACATGAAATAGGGAAACCATTATAAAATCATGACATATCTGAACACATGCATTTGATGTGGGATAAGAACACTGAACTATATTTACAATGAAAATTATTTATTTATTTATTAACAATATTATATCCCATCCTTTACAAAACATCCCAGGACAACTTACAACCGTACTGTAGAATTGATGCTTTGAAAATTGTAAAAATAAATCTGCAAAGTTATATATTCCATTACATGAAGATCCAGGTTCTTATATGAGTCTTTGCTTTACTTGTTTTGATATCCTGGGTAAAGATGAGTAAATTAGTGATATCTGAGCTCATCAAGATTCTTTGAACACCAGTGCACTGCTCATCCCATGATTCATAATCATGTTTGTAAACGAGAAAACTGCAAAACAGAAGAATGTGAGTGTTATGCAAAAATCCACATACACGCACAGATTTCCTCATGCACTAAACATCTGGTGGTTTAAACTTGGTGCACTAGAAGAAAGTTGTGTGGTTTCAGGAAATTGTGTATTGCTTGAGTACACATTTTGCAAATGCAAACACAAATTCATGAATTTGTGGACATTTTTCATGAAAATACATTCCTGTTCACATTCAGGATTGTGAACAGGAAATTTTCGAGTGATTTGCAAACTGAAATGAAATGCTCATGCATTTCTCTCCCTGGGTAGTTGTGGAGTGGAGTCTGATACATCCAAACTACTGAAACCATGAAGCCATGCATGATATGTCCTATCATTTTTACTACTTTAACAAGAAATAGCCATGGTGTAAAAAACAACCAGAAAATCTAGCCTATAGACAAATGAATCATTGGACTCACAGTTCTTATGCCAGTGTAAGCAATATAAATCTCTCTTGTCTCTAGGCCTAATGTCATACTTTTTTTAATCAACACCATTTCCTTTTCAAAACATTATAAGTAAAATGCTTGATAAGAACATACTGAATTCATATGTCTTATATTAATATGTGAACTAGAACATAGTTATCTTGCAATATTTACACATCTCACTTTTGTAATGCAAGTTTCATTTTTTTAAAGGACAAAAATGTGTATATTAAGGGAAATTGTGCACAGCAATATTATTGAAAACATAATTTTTATTATTGGGAAAACATCAATAGGAAACTGCTTACAAATATCTATAAATTGGGTAAAATAATGCAGAAAAAATAAACACAATTTCATATAGACATTTTTAAAAGTTGCAAATGAATGTGGAAAAGCTCCAGAAAAAAATGAGGATAGGAAAAATGAGAAACAGAGAGGAAACAACATTGACAGATTTGTTCATCCATATTCCAATGTTGCAATTCCCTTTTTGCTTCTCCAGGCAAAAACAATATACATAATCTATATATTCCATGTATGTGGTGGGTGATAGTAGCCTCAATACAACAAATCTGTTAGATCAACTCTCGAAGTGAGTGTTTAGGATTAAAATGCTTCTTGTGCAGAGTTCTGTGGTTCTTTCCTCCAGAATTTCTGTTTAGCCTGAGCAGTGAATGAGTGCAAATCTGTGTGGAGGAAGAACACACAAAGAAAGCTACTTAACTCAGTTCCTTCAGAATCACCACCAACATCATGTTTATTCATCCATGAGTGAAAGATACAGATTCATCATAACTCTCTCCCCAGGGCTGAAAAAGTAGATGACCTGAAGAGAAGAGTTAAGCAGGCTTCCCACTCTGGGCATTCTTTGAAATTGACTTTGTATAAAAGAAAACATAAACCCTGCAGAGGGCAGAACTATAGAGCTAACATTGTGTGTGATAGTTGAGAGAAACATTGGGATTGAAAGTAATTGAATCTAATTAGGAAAAACAATTAGCAAATTGTTTCAATGTGGGACTGGGGCTGGATGCATGAGGCAATTGTCCAACAATTAGTCAAGATAACTTAAAAAGCAATGCTAAATAGAAATGTACCCTGGATGACATGGCATGGCTAGAATGAACAGTATACTGTCTTCTTGTACAATTTTCAATGGCAGATAGCATGGAAAAGGAATTATTGTGTAGAGGCCCCAAATTTTTCTCTCTTTATTTTTAAGGTGTTTTGCTTTGTTCTTAATGACTCCCCCCCCCTTTTTTTTTTTTGGTATGTTGCCACATCAGGACCAAAAGACCACTTCCCTGAGGTGGACCACTTATTCCAAATTATTTTATAATACTTGGAAGAAACTGCCTTCATGTGGATCACTCTGATCCTTCCCATAACAATGCCATGCACACACTGGAACCAGGGATACTGATGTGGGAAATAACAGCTTGATATGGTGGTCCATAACTGTGAAATAATCATGCTCAAGGGTTGAATCTTTGTATCAGGTGTGGAGTCCCTACAGACTCTTTTTGAGTGTGTGTATGGAGACCACCTGCAGCTCTTACCCTAATTTCCAAAGCCCTTTTCATGAAATCATTTTAGAGCTCTGAGTATGGTATCTGCCCTTGTCCTGGAAGCTCATATGATGGGAAGCAAGAATGAGAATCAGAAAAGGGGCAATCCAGCCATCATTGTGTTCAGCCCTCCCCACTGACATCCTGTCTCTGATTGGAGGGAAACCAAATTATCTGGTTGGCTATCTTCCCAGATGTGTACTGAATGATGGAGAGGTAAAAATGTATGCAAATATAGCCTCATGATGGAATCAGTAACAAGAAATGTTTAACATCTTTTCAGTCTGATCCTGGCTTCATGTCAGAAACCAGTATCACTTGTTGTCAAGACAGCTATTTCAATGATATAGAGGCTGTTGATTTGAACCTTTATTTTTGTGCCCCAAATGTATCTTGAAAGGTCTGATAGTCCCCTGGCTATGGCTGGGGTGAATGTTAAGGGGTGGTAGCAGTCTACTGGTAATTGTGTGCCCCTGCCTACACCATATCAGGTTGGGAATGGGAGTCTCTCTCCCTTTGCACCTGTCAAGTAAAATATAGGGTGAGTGGTATTATTTGTAAAATACTTATATTCTTGAGGAAAATGCCCTGTAGATAACTATGACTAATTTTAATCTGTATTTTATCTTCTTTCTTTAGAAAATACTTTGGAGAAAAAATTGGAATGTATTTTGCCTGGTTGGGCTTATACACAGAATTTCTTATTCCATCTTCTGTAGTTGGAATCATAGTGTTCCTGTACGGATGTCTAACTATTGAAAGTGACATTCCTAGGTAAGGTTGTATGTGTGCAATATGATTTGATATCCAAAATGCTGTATTATTGTTGTTGTTGTCATTTCTATACTGCCTGTATCCACAGCTCTCCAGGCAGTGTACATCAAAATATAAAAACAATACAATACATAAAAAACCATAACAATTAACAATTAATTTAAAATAACAAAAAAGAACATTAAAAGACACAGCCAAGAGTAAAAGGCACCTGGCTAATTGTATTAGTCCCCTGAATGATCAGGGAGGTCTTTAAAGTCCTCCACAAAGAAGGTTGTTTTAATCTGGTGCCAAAACGTTGGCAAATTTGGTGCCAGGTGGGCTGCAGCAGAGAGGTTGTTCTAAAAATGGGGGCCACTACTGAAAAGACCTTCTCCTAGTAGTCACCCTCCAAACCTCTCAGGGGATTGGCATCTGGAAGAAGGTCCAAGAGGCTGAGTGTAGTGTCTGGGTAGATTGAGGTTAGGAGAGGCTATCCCACAGGTACTGCAGTCTCAAGCTGCATAGGGTTTTATAGGTTAAGACCTTGAATTGGGACTGAAAGCATACAGGCAGCCAATGCAGGTGGGCCAGAACTGATCTTATATGTTCAGACCTCTGGGTCCCAGTTATTAATTTGGCTGCCACATTCTGCACCAGTTGCAGCTTCTGAACCATCTTCAGGGGCAGCCCCATGTAGAGTGTGTTTCAGTAATCTAATCTATAGATTACTAGAGCATTGATTACTGAAGCCAGGCTATTTCTGACTAGGTAGGGGCACAGCTGGGCTACCAGCTAAAACTGGTAGAAGGCACTTGGAGTCACTGATGCCACCTGAGCCTGAAGTGATAAAGATGGATCACGGTACATCCTGAAGCTATGAGCCCACACCTTCAGGGAGAGTGTGACCCCATCAGAACAGGTTGAACATCCCCCATCCGGTCAGAGAAACCACCCATGAACAGCATCTCAGCCTTGTCTGCATTAAGTTTCTGTTTGTTTAGCAGTCCATTGTCGTAGCTAGACACTGGTTTGGCACATCCACAGCCTCACATGCTTACAATGAAGGGGAGAAACTGAAACGGTGCACTCTAAAACTCCAGATGAGCCCATTCATGCAGATGTTAAATAGTATGGGGGACAGAACAGACCCCTGAGGAACTCCATGCTGGAGATCCATGGGCCTGACCAGTATTCCCAAAGCACCACCTTCTAGAGGCAGCCCTCCAGGTAGGAACAAAACCACTGCAATGCAATGCCCCCCACACCTAACTCAGATAGTTGCACCAGAGGAATGCCATGGTTGATGGTATGGAAAGAGGGTCATGCTTCCACTACCCGATGGTACGAGGCAATTGGGGCCATATCTGTGCCAAAACCAGGCCTGAACTCCAGTTGAAATGGATTCAGATAATCAGTCTCATCCAAGAGTGAGATTGATTGGCAATCATCCTCTCTATAACCTTGTCTAGGAAAGGTATATTTGCTCTTTAGGTCTGCGTGGGACCACCCCCTTTCCAAGGAGACTTTTATAAGCCAGGAGGGTCAAGAACCCAGTACTGAGGTGGTTTCATGAATCTGCCCAAGCATCTTGTCCACATCATCAAGCTGTACCAACTGAAACCCATCCAATAAAACTGGATAGCTCCATCAAATTAACTGCTGTAACTCAGGAGTCAAAGTTCAGCAGATGCAAAGATTTTTTCTTGGAAGTGCCCAGTGAGTAGGTTACAGCAGGGCAAAGATGGTTCCAAGGTGTTCCTGGAGTCAAGTGTAATAAGATCCAGACAAACTTGAAAAGCTCATTTGGGTGGCAAAGAGAAAATTGGATAGAAGTACTGAGGCATTTTTTCTTTGCCACCTTCACTGCCTCAGATTAACTCAATTGTAAGCACATGCCAAGTTTCTGTTGCATTCACTGGAATTTCTCCATCTGCACTCCAGCCATCTCCTAAGTTGTTTCATTGCTCTCAGCTCCAGGGTATATGACAGAGCTGTCTGAGCTCTACTGTAGAGAGGGCACTTAGGAGTGATCGTGTCAACTGCCCAGGTCATTTCTGTATTCCACAGAGTGACCAGGGCTTCAACAGGCGCACCAGCCATGTCAGCCAGAAAATCCTCCCAGAATTCTCTGGAAGCCATCCAGATCTATTAGCTTCCATGAATGGACCATCTTAATGGAACCTTTACCCTTGCAGAGGGGGAAAGCTGCCAAAAGTCTAAATCTCAGCAGGTGGTGATCTTACTGTGATAGAGGGATTGAGTCAAAGTCCCCCATACTCAGAGCATCATCCTCATATCTGGCCAAGAAGATAACATCTCACGTAGTCCCCACTACATACATTGGGCAAGTGACATGTTGGAACAGTCCCATGGTTGTCATGGTGATCATGAAATCCTGAGCCATCCCAGATAAGGTTCCCTAAGCATGAATGTTGGTAATGGGGGACTTCAGCATCACATCCGAGACCCTCTGTCAGCTCAGGTAGAGAGACTGGTAGGTTGCAGGGTGGGTGGTACACCAACAGACTAGTTGTTGGATGGACAGGGTACCTGAAGAGAAAGAGATGGAATTCCTATAGACCAGCACAACCCCTACTCCACAGCGCTCATGTCTGCCCTCATGCTGAACCAAGTATTCCAGTGGACACACCTGGGAGAGACTAACTCCTCCCTGTTTACCCACCCAGGTCTCAATTATACACGCCAGATTGGCTGCCTCTTCCATGATTATATTGTGATTGAGGGAGACATTATTCTTCATCAATCTGACATTTAGAAGCAGCATCCAGAGACCTGAGGTCCAGCTGATATGGCAACCATCAAACCCATGGGTGGGGGAGGACAAAAACACAGGTCAGCCATTAACTGTTTGGGCTGTGTTCCCCTTGCCTGGCCAGTCATCCCCTCAGCACCATATCTACCCATCACTACACTAAATGCCCCCCCCCCCACTCCATCTTCTCACTTGTCACCATAGATGCACTCTCAGCCAGGGCCCCCAGCATAGCACAGGGTGGTGAAGGGCAACCAGAAAGTCAACTTCCCCTTTTGGCATCCATTTGGGTATATTGCTGCCAGGGCTAGTGGCAGCTTGCCCCTCATCAGCAGGCCAGCTTTTATGCTAATGAGGGCTGCTGGAATTGTCAGGTCAGGTGCAGGCACTTGGCCCTGATGGACTGTGTTGGGTCCAGGAGGAAAGCTGGAAGCTGAGAGTGATGAGGGGCAGTTGCAGCAGCAGCAGGTCTGAAATTGCCACATAGCAGTCCTCTTCCCCACTGGTCCCCAAAGCTCCTCACCAGTCCCAGGGTACAGAGTGCCCTGGCCAGAACCAAGTGACTGTACTGGTGACTATACACTTGTTTAAGAACTGGAAAGATTATGGAACATGGGCTTAACTCAAAGGCCACCCAATGAAAGAGAATAAGAGAGTTGTTTTTGCTGTTCTAGTATCCTTGTTCTCCATAAACTCAAAGATAGTTGTTCCATGCATTTTCTCCCTCGCAACGCCCTACCATTAGAATGGCTTGAGTTTTATGAGATCTCCCTGTATTCTTCCATTGGTATATTTAAATGCACACATATTTTTCTTCTCTCTGTTTTGGTGTTCTCAAATGTTATCTCTGTCCCCTGCCTTTTCTGTCCAGCTCCCATGCCCTCAAAAGCATAGCCTCTTTAGGCCAATAAACACAGGGGAACCCATCAAAGAAAAAGTATGCATGATTGCCATGTGTATGTTGACCCTTAGAACATAAGCCAGAAGGCAGGATGTATGCCTCAGTACTTATTTTTACTGTGATATATGTGTTAAATGATTGTATTTATTCTTTCTGCTTTAAAAATACTTCCATCTAATAACTAAAGTGGTAGAATGCATGACAAAACCGTATCTATAGCACCCTCTGGTGTCTTTTAAACTTAGTAAACTCTCTCTCTCTCTCTCTCTCTCTCTCTCTCTCTCTCTCTCTCTCTCTCTCTCTCTCTTAATCAGTGCTAGTGTAACTTTTTAAGGGGAGAACAGCTTTTATCATCACTATACTCCAACAACTCTGTTTATGGACTGGCAAACAGTATGCACATACTGAATGTAGACATTCTTTGTATTGCTACGGTTTTCTATCACTTTCCTGTTATAGAATTGTGACTCTGGGTTGACAATGGCTGCATGTGGTGCTGATTCTGTAGTATTGTGGGCTGTGCATATGAGTGTGCATGTGTACACAAAGGAGGATGCGATTCCTGGGAGAAAGGGTGGCTAGACTTCTTCTCTGCCAGCATAATTTTGCTTCAAGGTTGCTGGGAGAGATAGAGGTACTAAAGCCTCCTCCATGTCCCAGCATCCCTAATCAAGATAGTTGCATTAGGGGTGCAAAAGCAACAGTCCTTGCTGCTTTGGGGTCCCTGAGGGAGGGAATGGGTATAGCAGCTTGGTCAGTTAGGCTGTATGGAAAGTGAATGCAGCCATGCCAGACAGTACATAGTGCATACATAGGTCAGGGGTTGTGCCCCTGTAAGAGGCATGGGATGTCCACTTCTGTCTTAAGGAAAATACTTGCCAGGTTTTTTGAAATAAACGAAGGAGTATTAATATTTCAGGATAAGTGTTGTGTTTCCATGGGAGTTGCTTGCTTCTTGATAAAGGATTACTCTGGGAAGTTTTCAATAGGGAAAAAATAGAAAAGGGGTTAGGAGCATGCCTCCCTGCCACCTCCCCCCACCCACCCAAGCAGTTATATAATTTAATTGCTGTTAATTATAAGCCTGTCTGTAAAAAAAAGAAAAAGAAACAATTGTATGACCAGGAGAATATGTCACTGGGAGAGAGAGCTGATCTGAGGTTTAGGACACTGAAAGCCAACAGGTTCAGGGATCTTTCCAGTTGCATTTGGACACATTTTCTTGCTTTGGGTAAGGTGGATTTTAGTGGCCTAGAGGAAGACATGCTGCCAGCTGCTTCATTTTCTCTCCTCCAGCTGTGGCTGCCACTGCCACTACTTTCCTCTGCTTCTCTCTTTACACCA